GAAAAAAAATTGCTAAATAATTATTCTAAAAACGCTATTGAATACAGCTAATTTTGTTGTAAAACTTTTGTATAAAACATTTTTTTATATCTCAAGTAGTTTTCAAGATATAACGGAAAAAGCTGAAAACCGCTGTACACGTAAAGGGTGATTTCACCCCTTCAAACCGTTTTTGGGCAGCAACTGATATTTTCTAAATTCATCTCTTTATGTAAACTACAAGTTCACAAAGTTTCATTAAAATCAGAATTTATCACCTCGAGAGGTTCCCTTGTCAGCGAATCTCGCATGAGATCTCGCGAATCTCACTTTCCGCTTTAAAATATAAGAAAACAATAAATATTACTACTTTTAGCAACAATTTCTGTTAATACTATTCTACTATCAATATATGTAATTTGACAACAAAATTACAACAATTACCAATTTTTACACTTTAAATATAGAAGACACATTTGGAGGAGAAAAAGTATCGTGCTTTATCGCAATTCTAGTAATATTTCATTAGTTCTAGTAAAGTTCTAAGTCCTTATAATTATTTTTAAACCAAATTCCGACGGTTACATATTTTTAATTAATTTTTTAATACTTGCATCCAGCACGACACTTGGAGAAAAAGTATCGTGTTGATTACTTATCACAGTTCTAACGACAGTTTTGGTTCTAGAGTTCACAAATCCTCTCGCAAAGTAAAAGAGACAACGAAATGCGCGCGAGGAGGTTGCATTGTCTGATGTCACGAGCAATGCAACGGTCGCGTGGGTGGGCGGGAGATGCACAATTGCAGCAAGCGAATTATGTGTTCGCTGGCGTCTCGTCGGGGTCGCCGGCTCCTTCGTAGACAACCGGTCCTGCTATAATTGCGATCGCGAACAATTCGCGCGAGCAAGAGCGCGAATGGATGCGACTCGTTCCATGCACGTAACAAATCGCGTGGATGAATCCGCGTTGTATTGCGATATTAGAAGTAAAAAAAAAGCTTTATCGAGGTACAATTAAAAACCGAAAGATTTAGAAAGAAACAATGGCTGCGTTCAGCAGAAAAGGCAGCTTTGCAACTGTTGTAAAATTCTTTAATATGATTGGTCTTGCTCTTAGTTCCTCACTGGATCTAAATGTATAAACCAATCATATTAAAGAATTTTACAACAGTTGCAAAGCTGCTTTTTCTGCTGAACGCAGCCATTATGTAATGTAAAAAGAATAACTGCAATTAACGTAATTAGCAGTGATTTGTTAATAAACTATTATTATTGATCTTTTTACGCAATAAGATAATACAAAGTTTTTAATAGAATTTTTAGAAATGTATACATTAAAAGCAGGATAGGTAATAAAAGCTATAACTAAATCAACGATATAACAAAGATCTTGTATGAGATAAAGCTGAGAATAAATTATTTTTTTAAAAAAGAGTACCGTTTTTTAAAAAACCTCTAATATATATATAAATTTTTTAGAAGCACCTGATAAATCAAATGAAATAAATATGTGTGTATTCTCAAAATAACAGTACAATCTGATTTTACCGACATTCTCATTCGTGTGACTTAATATTCTATCGGTTTTTTAACGCATTCATTATTTCTTATCAATATTAATTATATGTATATTAATATATGATAATTAATATATACATTAAAATATATAATACATATATTAATAATATATTATAACGAATTGTCATTATAAAGAGAAAAATCTCACTCTTAAAGATTAAAAATTTAGCCACTCTTTTTTAAGACTGGCTTAATGTTCACTCTTTAGAGAGTTTAGAGTGAGATTCCACTCCAAAGAATTTAGAGAGCATGCAACAGCAATAATAGTGAAAGTATGGATGGGATCGTTAAGTCCCTAAACATCATCTATGTATTATATATATAAAGAACTCCTCTATAATTCCCACCGAGGTTGGCAGTTCCAGCCCAGTGTTCCGGGCCTTATGAGACTGCTCAACCTCCCTTTCAGGTCCTTCGGTTTTAGTCCTCTTTTAAAAGATCTATTTTTGTAGCTGAACTACACTTTTAGAACTTAAAATGAATTAGATATACATACGATATTTGGCAAAAGCGAGAAAAAAGTTCTAGTATATAGTCTAATGCAGCA